TAATGGACTTCTTAGAAAGCTCCAAATACTCTGTAAACAGCTCTTTTACTATGCTCTTGATCTTTTTTCATCCACCTCTTAGTAGTTAAGGTTTTCTTCACTTGTAACCACCCTTTGTTGGCGAGTTCGGCAACAAACAACTTTATTCTCTTTATTTAGAACTTTTGCCTGTGCCGCACAACTGGGGTGGTAGTCTGAGTTACATAGAACTACGTGAAAAATTGACAAATTTCTTACAATATTTGCACTTTTTTCTATTTTCCTCCACTATCTTATTGTTTACATCAGCCATAACACGACCTCTCCCAACAAGTTTGACAAATGCAAATTAGCTTTGACAGATTATACTTCGAGAAATGGAAATGACATTTGACTGCGTCCGCATAGACAGTTCAACGGCTGGTGACACATTTAAATAATTACAATCAAATAGGCATACCAATTAATAAAGTTAAAAAAGATTTTTCAAGCAACTAAGAATAACGCAGTCCTTAAATCTTCTACAAAAAAACGTTGCTTCACAAAGAGAGGAACAATAATTACCATGTCCATGGAAACTAGTGCCATTTGTAACTTTATATATATGAGCTGTATTAGAGAAGTTAAAATACCCCCTGACTTAAAGAAAAACAATAATTATTTATTGGAGCGCCGCGTATGTTGAAGAAATAGCCAGCTTTAGGAATTTAGGCGGAAAAAAGATGATCCGAAGCGTGGACTCATGGAGCTTCTAAATGTGGCTTTCAAGCGGTCCAACTTTTGAAACAATAATTATAACGGAAAGTAAGCGTTCTATAACTTTGTTTTTCACCTATCAGACCTGGGTCCTTCATATTCGTACAATTATTGGTCATTCTCGGCAAGATCATTCTATGACATGTAAAAAGTGCGAAAACCACCAAAGCTATGCTTAAGTAAAAGGTCATATAGGGGGAAAACGATAGAGTTATTAAAAATGTGTATACTAGATAATATATCTTACTGCATGCTGGTAACTCGTAACTCCATTCATTGATTTGATTGATTTTCTTCAAGAATCTTAAGGATACGTCTTTCCGGTAGTTAGCTATCGAAAACCGTATCAACTCAAATTTAGGTAAAACAGATATTTGCAACGACTTTAAATGCAGCTTTTTAGAAAAATTCCCCTCTCTTGGCTATAGGCCCTGCGCCTATTATACGGATGAGGTTTTTTTCTCAAAATTTTGATAATTCCACATTGAGGAAGAAACTATTAGACAGCAGTATCTACAACTTACATTCAAAACGTTTCATCTCTGAGTAATATTTATGGGAGTGATAAATAGAGAATTAGCTAAATGGAAAAAAGTGTTTTGTCTATTCAAAAGTGACACATAAAAGGATCGTATCCGAATAATAATTGATGAAATCAGTATAATTATGAATATAAATATGATTCCAAAAAAAAAGATCAAAACCGTTTAAATAAAGTTAATCAGTAGCGGAAGGCGCTAAAAGCCGACACTCGGAAATTTGACTTAATTGAGAAATCTGGTTAGAACAAGTTGAAGGAATAATTAAAACCGACGGTGGAGAGACCAGCTTAGCTTAGAGCGAGTTAGAGGGGCGTCGGGACGGCATTACGCCCAGCCCACCCGCCCCGCGGTTTAGTGCCCCCGTACTCCCCTAATGGGAAAATCGACTCGTCTTGTTAAGCTACACTAGCGCGTCTTCAACTTCAAACTCTAAATAATCACGTTTAAATATTTAAAAGTTAAGTTAGCATCAGTTGGAATTTTCAACGCAGGGGCGCAGTCCATGAATTGTCGAATTATGATGCTCAAACTTTGGCGTGTTGTTATAAGGGTAGTATTTCGTGTCTCAACCGAGTTACTGAGTGAGCGGTATTGAAGCGTTTCTGGTTTCTGAAAAGCAGATGTTTGCGGGACGCTTCACTTCAGCTTGGAAGGTTTTTTAGGCTTTTTATATTTGATGTAGTTAGAGACATTTTGATTTGATTCGTGATCATATTCTCATATCAACCACAATATCACCTCTTGACCTGAACATTCAAAAATGTCAAAAATCGAAAACAAACTCAAACAATCAAGCTTTTTTATCTGTAGAAGATTCCTCTAACAGTTGGAACCGAATTTTTCAGAAACCGGCGCTATTCATAGCTCAACCATCTTTTTGGAGTGGTAAGGTTACTGAACAGGAACCCAGAACATCACCTGATTTTTATTTTATCTTTGTTTAGCTCAAAATCTAATTATTGCATTTAGAATTTTCATTCGACTACTTTTTTAATTTCATCACCATTTAGATAGTTCATAAATTAATACTTATATTATTATTTTAGTTACCTATTAATAATATCACATCAGGCACATCATTTATTATTTTTTATATTTATCTATGATTTTGAATAAGAGTAATAATCCTGCCTATGCTTATACGTATACCTGAACATAAAGTTTATATGGAAAGGCTGAGCAATTTCTAATGAAATAACCAGATAATTGTTTTTTAAAAATAATAATTTTTGGGAAGGGTAGTTTCTGCAAGAGTGGGTAGCTATTTTTAATTTGTGCTGATGACTTGTTTATCAATATTTTAGCGGAAATAGAGTTATATGAAAAAGATACTGTTATTTTTTCTAAATTTTACAGTTTTGGAGAAATTTTACAAGTTCTGAATAGTTTTCAATGTTTTCAACCAGTGATTTCGGTATTTTAGTTGACCGTAGAAAACACTGTCATACCTTCAAAAGCTGATAGAAATCAACAAAATAAGAAAAAAAGTATCTAGACATTTGCCGGAAAATGCGTTTTATGTGTGTTACAACCGCCAAATAAATAAATAATGGGACAGTTGAGACTGAATGAAAACAGTTGATTTTAAAGGGAAAAACAATGAGTAGGTACCTACCTAGGTTTCGTCCAGGAAAAAAGCGTATTTTAGAGCAAACGTTCGGGCATGGAAACATTCTATTTATTTTGACGAGTTCTATCAACACCTCTGAGAACGCCAATAACTGAAATAATATGCACAACAGGGCAGATAAATCAGCAGTTTTATTTCATTTCATGTCTATCTCTTATCTGTTTTGATTCAACTCTCTTTGGGCAATGATTAGCACCAACATGTGGCGTGGTTGCCTTTCTTTAATCCAAACTATCGACGCTTGGTCTGGCAGATTTAAAAACAATAAATTTCAGAACTTTCAGGATGGATTCAAAAGCTTTTTTCACACATGCCTGATCCCATCAACGAAAAAAATGCAGATTTAGGAAAGTCTAAAACTTCTGCGAAGAAGCATCGGAAAGAGCATCATCCTACTTATTTGGAATTTGAAGACAAGAAAATGATCATTTATTAAAACCTTTTCGTAGCAGTGTTATAGTTTTGGGTTTGTAAAAAGCCTTTTTTCCATCCAATTTTTCTCCATGATGCATATTACAATTTTTTTATTCAAATTTACTTTAGGTATATTTTTGCACCATGATTAGCTCTAAAAATTAGGTTTGTTTTTTGTTGTTCAAAAAGGCATTATTTCTTTGAAGTTTTTCATTTCGAAAGAAGTGTTTTCTCTATTTTCTAGGTAGGTAGTTAATATTATTGTTGCATTGAATAGCGATATTTTTGTTTGATGCGAATCAGGAAGATTTTAAAGTTGACATAAATAATAAACACTTCTGCTTAATGGGGTTATTCTCTTTAAATACAGCCAACTTTGGTAATATTCTTATCAGGTTTGAAATATCTATATTATAGAATTTTTAAGCTTATATAACAAACGGTTTCAGAAAAATAATACAGCGTGTAGATAAGTACCTACCTAGGTAGGTATTATACTAAAGATAAAGGGTCTCACGTATAATGTCTTTGGAAGGCATTAAAAATTTCGAAGCAAACATGACTGGTCAAAAGTATCTAATATCTCCAGATAATCCATGTTTGCTTTTCGACTCGAAGTAGAATGGGTACTTTTATTTGTTGTTCCAAAAACTATATAGGCACTCCAGTTTTATATATCTACCTACCGAACGGAAGCAAAAACTGAATGTTACTGATCATGTAATTTTGTTATTGATGATGATTACTTATTTCAGAAAGTTGGAAACAGGGTATACAGGGTGAAATCCCTTCGACAAAAAAAAACAAGGGTATTTTATTCGAATTGCAAGTACCCTTTAGGTAAATAAAGCCGGACCAGAAGATAGATTGTTGAGTGATAGGTATAATACATTTGCTTTTAGAGGAATGATTCCAATCAAAGTTGACAATGAAGCATCACAATGTCCTAAGTTTTTTATGTTACTTTATGCTAAGCTCTGAACGTAGGTACACATATCTATATAAGTAGTTTGACGTATAGACGACCCTGTAATTAATTATTTTCATCAGTGGAAGTATCTGTATTAGGTAATTTGTCATGTACCTACCAGAGTAAATGAAAATACCTAATCCAAATTTGTATACTTGAATAAATCCACTAAATTAGTGTCGCGCCTTCTGGATTTCTATTGACTGAACATCAATATAATTATTGTATTTACATATCGTTGGAATCTTGTTATTAGATATGATTTGCCAAAGTATAATTTTCTCCCTTTGATTTGCATGTATTTCGACAATTCATTATACCTACCTACACAATACTATTTGAATCTACCTACTCTCATGAATTTAGAAACAATCCTAGCTACTGCTTTAATTTAAGCCGATTTTCGTTTTTCTGCATGTGCAAAAATCAGTACCTACCTGAGAATTTACCGTAGAATACGATACAACCTTTGACGATACCAAGTTCGACATAATGGATTGATAAAATCCAAGGGTATTTAGCAAACTTTATCACTTTCTCAATGAATCGTACCTATCTGGACGGCCAACTTTGATGGGATAAACTCTATTCATAAATACTTAGGTTCATAATAATCCAATATGCATAATACCTACAGGATAAATAGGTACCTACCTACAGGTTGAGGAGACACACGGCAAATTAGCGCAATATTAAGGGAGCAGCTTACCTTGACAACATAGCACTATTTGAATTTCCAGGATCTAAAACACTTTGTCCATTTGTCAAAGAACTCGTAAAACCCGGCTTTTTGACCGTTGGCTCATCACGCGACAATATACTCGAAATTGAAAAGTTTGTTGAACTACTTTTTTGTGCTGCCGTAATTTTTCGGTCCTTGTCGGCCCTTTCCTCGTCATCACTACTGGTCCTGATCACAGGAAAACACGTAGTCACATGATGGTTCACCATGGTGCCAAAATCCGCCGGTTCTGGAGAATTGTTTCTGCTATTTGAGGATTCGGGAGATGACACTACGTTAACTTCAATGTCCCTAACTGGAGAAGAGCTCATGTTCACACCACAAAAACACCCGGAAAAGAAAGGGACAGTCCGTCTTTTTGAACATTAATCAAACAACAGAACCGAACAAACAACCACTGCTCTAGTCGTTCATGAAATAGCCGTTTTGTGTGTTTAGATTGCATTTGCTTGCTTGGGGCGGTCATATGCCAAGGACACACCCCTTCAGAATGACGCCGGGAACCACCCCTAGTTTGTTTCTTTCTTTCTCTTGGACACAGCCAGCTTCATAATGGCGATATAGGGGTTGCTACTGATGCTGACGGTGGTTCTTTCTCTCTTTTACTACTTATTCTTATAATATCCCCCTCTGGCGCGCAATAAAGGGTCCACGTTATGTGTTGCTCTCGCACTTACTGGAAAGTTATATGACGTCTTTGTTTCGTCGGGAGCTCTTAAAGTGGTGTTTCTTGGCAGTTGGGGAATTTTTGTGTCGAGGATTATGCGATATTCGCTTTGCCTAATTTGTCGGGGAGGCGAGCTGTGAAATTGGCTGTTTTCTAGTTTACGACTTGGGGTTTTGTCGAGAAATTGCCACTCTTTTGCAGGAATTAAACTGTTGGATGTGATACTTGGTGCCCTGGGGACCAATGGGACTTTAACAAAGTCTGGTCTGGAGGCATTTTCTATTCTTGCCTCGGACGTAATCACTTTTACATCCTGTCGCACATTATATCAAATAATATGCCTCCTATATTGAAGAGATGAATAATAATACTCTTATTAGGTACCTACCATCAAGTAGTTTTTTCATAAACCTAGATACGGGGTGATCGTTCAGATATTAATGCCATATTTCGGAAATAGTACAACTAACTCAAGTTATCAGGCAGTTAAACTAGAAATGGACGTTATTTTTAGAGCTAACTTGTATTTTTAAAAAAATCCATTAGCGAAAGCGGCAACAACGTTATCATTTGGAAGCACCCCGTATATTCACATGCATTATTTCTTTGTCCAAATGTCATATACCTACTAGGTTCAACAGTCCAAGTGCTCATGGTTCAAAAAATATTAACTTTTAAAACTTGGACATGGTGTAGGTACCCAAGTCTAAAATATGGTTTTTGTCCGCGTCCCATACAATTTTTATTCCTTTGAATAGGTAGGTAGGTATCTACTGTTCTACAAAGATTTAATAATTTCTTTATATTATATCTACGGAATAACATCAAATACAAATCTACAATTTCTAAGTGTTATGGGGTGGTTAGGTACAAGAAAAAAAGAAATTATCTTAAAAATAACCGTCCGTATAAGTAGAGTCAAGAATCATATTCAATTTCAGTATCTTAAAAGTAGGTACCTACTCAATATTAACACTCATAAAATTATACACAAAGAAAAATATAAATTTCATAAATATAGGTATTTAAATAATAACAGTCCAACTATGCAATTCTAAATACCCACTATTAGGTAAACTTTACTATTAGGAGCTAATTTATCAGTTTCTGAATCTTGTTCTCTATCAGGCAGGGAGTGCATTTTATTTAACTTGGACATGAATATCTATTCAAGCGGCCGTTAGCAACATGGGTGGTTCTTCAAAAAGAAATGTTGAAAATAGGGTAAAACATTACAATATTAATTTCCGCTCTTTGACATTTTCACATTTTATTTGCCAATAGGTATGAACTTCATCCCAGCGCCTGATTTAAAAATGTGAAAATCTAAAACTATAATTTTAATTATTGTAATGATGATGTGCGTGCAAAAGTTCTGAATCTCAAAAGGCAAAATAGAAAGCGATGCCGCATTAATCACATTTGCCCAAAAATTGGAGTGAATATGAAAATGCGCAAACGAAATTTTCAACTTTCAAAATGGCAGTGTGAATATGTCCCTCGCTTTCTTCAAAGACTTCACTTTTTTTTAGATTTTTGATGTATAAACATCTTTGTCGGCAATATGCGACTAAATCAAGAAAATCGTGGGAAATGGGGACGGAAGTGTGAAAGAGGATGTGACATGCGCAGTGTGCAGCTACTTCAGCACTTAGGTGGCATTAGATTTTCATGTGGATGATGTCAATATAGGTAGTAGATCGCTGTAAGTTTGTGGAGTGAATCAATCCACTCCAGTTCAGGCGGGTATTATAAAACTATTTTGAAAAGTAACTCAAAGTTAACTTCTGGAATGACAACACGTCTCAAGTCATTCCAGAAGTCAACTTTTAGTTACCTATTTGTCAAAATAGTTTTATAAAACCCGCTCTTAGTATTATTATTATTACCGAACGAGATGTTTACACATATCAGTTATCTTTTTCTCGAGTGCGCGCAGACTCGCGCTCATTTTTATTTATTTATTTATTTTTTTTTTTCATAAAAAAGAAAGACTTTTTGAAAAACATGGCGTTATAAGAAATATGAGAAGTGCTCTCAGACGCGCAGTTATTTCAATTTATCTTCAAGCTGTCGATGTTTGCTGATAGCCTTCTGTATAATGATATTGAATAGACTAAACTTTGATTTTCGAAATCGTCAATATCAGAAGTCAAAAGTATTTTTTTGACATTGAACAAAAAAGGTCGCCTAGCAACCGTCACAAAATTTATTGAAAACAGTATCTAATCATACGAACGCTAAGCAATAGAGGAGGTAAGTCCATTTTTGAATTAAGAGAATAAATAGTTATTTATGATGCAAGGCTAAAAAGTGTATGTTTTTTGGCCGCTTGCTTGATACAAATCAAGGCAAAGCCGAAATTTGTAAGCAGTCCAAGTCCAAAATATGACTTTTGGCCGCGTGCCCTACAATATTTTTTTATGCGCTTATACATACCCTTTTTTAAAACTTCAAACATTTTAATTTTCCGTTACCTTTTAATAATGAGTTTAGATTTTTTGGATTTCGACTACAAGAAAATAATGGAAAATTTCGGAGACGAATTTACTTACTGATAACATATTATACCTATAGCTCCAGAGTTCTGTCTTTCATAGCAGTTCATGTGAAATGATGTTAAGTTGTCAAATATAGGTAGGTAGGTACCTACTGAATTTTGATTGATATGAAAACGTCAGTACCTAGTAATAGTGATTTCGAAGGTCATACTAAAAAGTGTATTTTTATAGTTTTTTAACATTATAAGTCCGATAAATAACAAATAACGGCCGGGCTCAAGTTTCTATCGCCTCGGAGCACAATCAGCCGAGGCTGTTATTTGCAGTTATATCGGCCATGTTTCGTTCTAGATTTTTCGTCATACTGCCGATATCTCTCCTAAAGAAGGCCGTTATTTATATTGTAACGGCTGGCGGATACTAGGTGTTCAGTACATCGATAGGAAAATTTCAATGAGTGATAGTTGGGGTCATTTGGAAGCTGTTTGACCATATTTACCCTCATGCAAAGTTTTGCCGTTCTTTGAGATATCGCCATATTTAGATATTTTGAATCCATGTATTTTAACACATAATGGGCTACATATTTCGTGTATCAATCATTCGGTTTTTCTTTCCGTATTTTTCCGAGAGAGTGCATATTAGGATATGATCGGAAAAATACGGAAAGAAAAACGAATGATTGATACCAGAAAAAAGAAGCATATGTTCAAACAATCAATGATTCCCAAAAATATCTAAAAATGCGATATCTCTAAAAGAACGGACGAAACTTTGCATAGAGGGTAATATGGTCAAACAGCTCCCAAATGACCCCAACTATCACTCATTGAAAACTTCCTATCGATGTACCAAACACCGGTGTATAACGGCCGGCGGTCGTTAAATATATCTTGTCGATTTGAATTTCGCTAATGTATAGTGTATAGTAAGATAAGATACAGCATACAATATGTCTATGAAAACCATTGTGTCAAAATTTGTCTAGAAAATAGCATAGCTACAATACGTACCTTTAAAATTTCTAAAATATTTCAAAACTATAAATGAAGGTGCGGAATGCTAAAACAGCATTACATTTTGCTAGAATCAGGCGCCTATAATGAAAACCAGAGAAGAAAAGGAAAATTAAGCCATTCCGACCAGAAAAAAATTATACACACTATTACCTACCTACCTCACTCTATCTATACCTAGTACCTATATTTTGGAAATATATTATTCTTGTTTGTTTCAACTTTCCTTTTGCTTCAAAAAGCGTCAATAATCGGTCGTATAGCCTTGTGTGTGCCGAGCAGCGCCCGAACTACCTACATCAGAGAAAAATTACTTTTTTAGAATGTTTTTGTAAAATCAATACATTTGGAATGGAATATTTTGTAGTAGTTCTTCCCAACTAACAGCTGTATGTTTTCTTAAATTTTTTCACAAAAGCAGTGAGTGGGAAAATGTTATTTGTGTGACAGGTTTTCACAAATCGAGAAACACCTACGTAGGTAGGGGAAAGCGGGGCAGAACGGGGTAGCGAGGTAGAACGGGGTAGCGGGGTAGAATGGAAAACTGTCATTAAAAAGCAAACGTGCGTCGAAAACATCCGAGCTTGCACTGAATCTCTACGTCAGTTGTTCGAAAAACGTCGAGCGAGGGTTTAGTCTCCTAAACAACTTGAATTTTCGTGTAAATTTGTAACATTAGCGTCCATATTAACCACCGTAGGTAATTTGCATATTGAATTTTAATCTATTTCAATTATGTTATACAAAGAGCTTTTATTAAGCAACATTTGTATCACTTTAGCTTTACTCTAGTCGAGACTCTAGTTTATGTTTTTTTTCCAAGAATTTTACTTTACGAGTAAATATTGCACATGGGGCGGAATGGAGTGGGGTACAATGGGGTATCGCGTTCTGTCCCGTTTAATGTCCATTTATTAATTTTTTCAGATGGTTAGTTAGAAGTTATGTTTGGAAAACAAAGCGTCAGGAATAGAGTATTGAATCCATGAACGTAGCAGTTGCTGCCGGTGGCTGGGTTTGGTAAATGCATCTGCGAGCAAAATGATCAAAATTTGACAGATGTCGCGTTATTTGACACGTGAAAAAAGATAAATGAGCAAGTGACGTTCGTCAAAATGTGCTCATTTTGCTCGCAGATGCATTACCGAACGCAGCCGTTTTCCTGGTGAAAAATATAAAAACCCCGTTGGGGCAAAATACACTTTCTT